AGAGAGAGAGAGAGAGGAGCGTTCAAATAAAAACTTGACCCATTTGTGTAAATCATGTAAACCAATCTCATTCATTCATTTTTTTGATCAATGGCTAAGATTACATTACTTTATTTTAGGAAATCAAAAATTAAAAAATAATTAATATTTATTTTATTTCATCAATAAAAGTAGAATCGGTAAACAAATTTAATTCATAGTATTTTTTATTCAAGGCAACCATATCAGGTAAATTATATTATTAATGAAAATGTTTCATCATCATGAATATATTTCATTWACTATTTTGCAATGAAACATTTTCACATTGAAATTTTTACATGCTTTCATAACGAACAAAATCCATTATGCATTATTTCATTAACTATTTTATTAATTATTTTACATGAATCTATTTCATTACCTATTTTACATGAATTTATTTCATTAACTAATTTATTAACTATTTTACATGAATCTATTTCATTAATTATGCACCCGTTTCATTGAGATATTTCAAATACAACCAAGTCCATTTGTACAACCAATGCAACCCAATTAATTGAGATATTTATAGAAATAATGGGAGTTTATTTATTATGATTTAAATATTTATGGAAGATGAATATGGTTTATTAATTATTATCAATACTTTATATTAGAAAACAATAAAAAAATTTATTAAATCACATATTAATCAAATGAAATGGACGGTTAAGATTGGGTTGTATTGGTTGCACAAATATCAAGGGTTGTATAATAACTAACCTAAATATATATATATATATATATATAAGGTTGGGTTCACGTGAGACCAGCCTGTTTTCGTGAGACCCGTGAGACCACGTTTTTACACGTAAACTTCATAGCAAAAACACTATGAAGGTTTTAAAAAGTCACATTCACAGCATTTTTGCTGTGAAGTTTCAAGTGTAAAATGCTGGTCTCACGAGTCTTACGAAAACATGTTGGTCTCACATGATCCCAAGTATATATATATATATGGTTGGGTTCACGTGAGACCAAAAGTTTTTCGTGAGACCCGTGAGACCAATTTATATTCATTAATCAACTTTATAAGCTAACAATCTAATGGTCTAAAATTGCACGGTGGTAATTTTGTAATTATTGAGAAATCTCGTGGCAATTTTGTGATTATGAATATTGAGATTGTAGATCTAATCCAAGGGTTGAGAATTGGTCTTACGGGTCTCACGAAAAAACCTTGGTCTCATATGATCCCAAGTCTATATATATATATATATATATATATATGTATATATATATATATATTATGTTAACTGTTCGTATTTCGTTCATTCCATCGGTATGCTCCCAGGTACCTCATCTGTTTGCCAGAACCAAGGGGAGCGATAAAATGAAAACCACATTCATTTGTAAAAACCGTACAAACCACCCTTATACGTCGATTTCATTGTTTAATTTTATGAAAAATTTTCATGAAATTGTTTAATCTTGTGAAATTGTTTCATATAATACTTTTTGTGATGAATTTGTTTCATATATGGTTATGAAATTGTTTCATATAATACTTTTTTGTGATGAATTTGTTTCATATATGGTTATGAAATTGTTTCATATAATATTTAATGAAAATTTAATGAAACTGTTTCATGTATTTTTCTAAAATTAAAATAATGAAGATGATAATAACCATGATTAACACCCTTCACAATAAAAATGGTTAATCA